TGGTATTAATTTGTAAATATCCATTAATATTTGCAGATAATCTACAGATAAATTTCACAAATCTGCAGTACTTAAATGTGATCTGAGTATTTGTATTATCTAGATATTTGCATGATTATTATCTGCAGATCGCTTCTCTACAGGATAGATACTGTATTTGATTTTGTCCATTTTTTTATGAAATTTATTTAATATTTTTTGTTCTTTATCAGCAATTATGCTTTCTGTTACTCGTCTTGTACCTGGCTAATCGTTTCTCCTTTCACTTGTTTGCTGTTCATAGTTTCCAATTATTATTATAACTACTTTTTGTACTCGTTTATGAGTTCACTTCTTATGCTTGCAGTTATTTTTGCGTGTATTACAGTTTGTATTTTTCTTTGTAATCTCTGTTAATTTTTTTCTTTTTCTAGAGCTGATCACTTGTTTATCGCGTTTTTCTTTTTTTTTCTGTTTCCTTGCCTCTTTTCTATCATTTGCATTCTCGTTTGCATGTAAGACGTGCCTCATGTTATTCTATCATCTCAGTTTGTTATTTCTTTTGCTTTCTAATTATCTCTGTATTAATATTTTGTTTATTCATTTTATATTACGGGATTAATTTATTTGCTGTCAAAATTAAGGATGTTAATTTTAATTTTGTTTGAAAACTTATATTTGTTTATTTTTTGGATTCGCATTCTTCTATTGGGAATATAACTGTGATTAAAGAAAAATCTAAGCTGCATTTTTTTAATATCTATCATATATAAAATTATTCTTATTTCAATATAACCTAATAAATTAAAGAACAATTAATATGACAATAATAATTCAGATGATTTCATATCTTTTTGATAAACAAATCGAAATATTTAAATGAATTAATTTATACTTTATTATTATTTTATTTTTGTATATAAGAATAATTATTTAATTATCTAAACTAACTAAAATTGTCTAATAAATCTTGCTATATTGTTTCGAAGTTTAATTTGCATTTTAGTATTATATATTTTTTAAAGTTGTATCACTGCCAATCTATTATGAATTACTTTTATCATGTGAATTAAAAATGTATTGTGTTTTAACGTTCTGGACTTGCAAACAGTCACTATTCCTTAATTTATTTATTAATTAAGATAAAAAATAAGAGAAAATTCTAATATTAATAAGTATTATAATAGAATATCTACCAAAGTTAAATTCATATACAGTTAACTCTCTATAAATGCATCTTCTATAAATGCACACCCTTTATAAATGCATCTTTTTATCTGATACTAACTTAGACATTAGTGCTAAATGCACATTTTTATATATATATACTCTGTAAATACACTCTTTATAAAAAAAAAATTATATAGATTACTTATAAATTTTTTTATTACCTTAATTTTATATATATTCTATAAATGCATACCCTCTTTAAATGCACCTTTATACCTAGTCCAAGGGGATGCATTTATAGAGAGTTGACTATATTAAGGTTATTATTTATAAAAATTTGCATTATCAGAAATAAATATATTACTTGCTTATAATACTTGATTTTTTAATCACAATAATATTAATTAAATAAAAATTTAAAAACTTTTATGGAAAGACTTACTGTATGTTATTTAAATATCAACTTCTAACACAAAAATAAACACAGGGATCCTTTTTTGCAATTAAATGACTTAAAGGGAAGTGAAAATTTTAATTTTTTTTAGTTTTTAATGGAATTATTAGATATATTATAGACTTACCGAAACTTTGTTTCCGGAGTTTAGGATATCTTTACATACATACGAAAATTCAATTACTAAGTGATAATATAGCTTTTCATCATTTTCAATATGGTGAATGAATTCCTTCCGGAAAAAAATTTCATAAGAAACTTTATATGGCGGATTCACGTGATCGATTCGAAGTTTGAAGTTCCAACCAACTTTTTATAGAGTTTGGTTTATAATTCTTGGAACTTTTTGAATTATAAACATAACTCACTTTCTGGAAATAATAATATGAAATAAGCGGTTGTTATAAAAAGTCTCAAAAATGATTGTTTACTTAACAAAAGTCAAAGTGTATGCATACTTTGCTGAATAAGATTATCATTCAAAATAGATATTCTTCCGCTGTTTTCAATGGGCTAACGAAAATAATCGTAAATTGTTGCAAAGTACTGGTGTATCAAGCTATTTGGTCACATAATATTTTATATGAATTATAGGATTGACAAGATATTTATCGAAGAGATAATATGGTTTCTCAATTTTCTTCGGTTTATATCAAAATTTATACTTATTTCTAAATTCTAAAAATTCTCCTTTTCGTGTCAGCGCATTATGGAGACGTTGACTATTATTCTTTTGTTCGGACTTATATTTATTCGTGATCTGTTTTCGTGTCCTTTGCATCACCGTCGCAATTCTACCAAAATCCAACCCCAAAAGTGCAATGCAATTATATAATTCTTCAGTGTCTTGAGCGGACCAACGACGATAAAATTCTTTAGGCACATCAGACCTCAATTTATTCGGCAAGTCGTCATACATATCAAGCTCTACGACCTCCATCTCGTCGTATTCTACTGCTGCTATAGGATTTAATCTGTCTTTAAAAGACATTTCTAGTTGTTCGCTTCTTGGTATCTCGCTAATGTTTGCCCAAGAATCCAACTTTCTGTTTCTTCTCTTCAATACAGGTCGGTCACGAGTAGTAGTACTATTTTCGTTGTCTTCTCGTAACGGAGAAGTAATAGTTGTAACAATGGCATCTAAGTCTTTAACAGCACCAATAAGATCTTCCGCAGGGAGTGCTTCATCGCATTCCTCGATAGTAGAGCACGAATCACGCACTGAAGGAGCTCTATCATTAGACTCAACGGCAAAATGGGAACCTTCAACAAAAGTCGGCTCAAGGTCCTCAACGTTAGGAACTTTTTGATTAACCACCGGAGACTTTTCGAGGATAAGTGAAGTTTGTGCAGTGGTATCGTCATCGATATCCGATTTATTTAATATATTCATAAGCTCTTCTAGAAATTGAGTATGTTCTGCCAGATCCTCTGGCGGGTTCTCCAAACCAAGACGTCTTAACTCCATCATACGCACAAGATCGAAGGCTGATTTGCAAATACTTTTCTCTCTTTCAAATTCATCGTTGTTGACGTTTCCACTCGACTCTTTTACTCGTAATCGTGTTTCACTTGAATTTAAAACAGCGGAGTTTTCGCGTGGTCGTATATTAATTGAAGATGAGCTTGAGGTTTCAGGTGAGCAATCTCTAAGACCCCATTTGTAATCGAATATCGTATCAACCACCTTAAATGCAGACATTCCACTATCATTGACCGTCGAAAGGTTCGTAACTGATAACGAAATATTTTTGGGAATAATTTCACCTGTTAGAGGTACCGGGCCGGGCTGACATTTATTTTCATAGCAACTTGAATCAAAGTCAAGCCGGTTCTCAAGTGCGATAGAAGGAAGAGATACAACGAAAGATTCTTCATGAAAGTCATCAGTTCTTAGTCGTTTTACATGTGTACTTGATTTGACGGTTTCAATTGAATTGACTGGTGTACGTTTAGCGACATTTCCTTGCTCACTTGTAGATGTATCTAGACGGCCGATGGACAAATAACTTTCTTCTAGTGCAGTTTCGTTGTTCATGCATAATACTGCTTCGGGCCCAGATGTAATCATTGGTACATCGGATATTAACTGAGAAGAAATGGAAATCGCATTACCACGTTTCTTTGCTGTACGAGGACGTAACAAAGTTCGATTCTTTTTTGTTGGCTCCATGATTAGAAATAACAACAAGAAGTCGTATGATCAAAGAATGCAAATAGATTAAATGTTGATAATGATACTAAATTTTAAACATGAAAAAAATATTGAATTAAAAATTTTTTTTCTAACAATCTGATATTTTATTCATACTTCTAAATCTACACCAAAACATTACAAGATACTACACAATTTTAAAAAAATATTTCGTATGGAAGATAGTTTTATCATGAACAAACAATTTAAAAGGAAACTATGAAACGGTTTGATCCGGTCAGATCCGGTTCGGGTTTTCGATAATCGTTGCCATTAATTCTTCCACTAATAATATTATATAAATAATAGCTTAATGTTATAATAATGAAATTTGAAACAATTAAGAATTTCAACTTTATATGGAATGTATAAAAATAATATTATTTTGGAAATAAAAAAATTATACTACATCATAAGTCCCTGCATACAAATAAAAATCGTCTTTTTTTATTTACTTAAATTTGACATTAATAGATTTAATAGATTTATCTAAGAATTCTAATTCTAATATCGTATATGATTTTGAGGAATAGAAAAAATATTTCCCAGTTTTTTTTAAGATGATAAATAATAATTTTGTTTTTATTTAAAATTCTTTTTTTTTAAAAAAAAAACCGAATGTAGTTATATATTTATTTATTTTTTGACAATTTCTTTTTTTTAACTTGAGTCGAAACGTTAAGATGATGCGGTGTGGTTCTTAATGGAATTGTAGTTGTTCTCGGTGTAGGTTTGCGTTGTTGTTGTTGCTGCGACGGCTGCTGTTGTTGTGACTGTTGCTGCTGCTGCTGTTGTTGGTCTTGTTTCTGAAGCAAAGCCATCTTGGCCTATAATAAATTTAGTATATTAGATGTTGAAGTTAAGATTTAAAAATTTCAATTATCATACATACATTATGAACGGCATTTGAAGTAAGATCCTTTAACAAAAGTTCGGTTTCTTTTGTCTTGGGATGATCAGATCCGAACTAGATAAGTGAATAGATAAACGTATAATTAAATATTATGATATGAAAGCTATCCAAATATACAATGTTAATTTCCTACCACTGCGTGGAAAATATTGTATGCCGATTTTTCAGCAATTAATGCTGCTTTAAAATCTTCAGCGAATGCCAAAGCTTTAGCTAATAGGTGATAACTATTGATATTTATAATTAGTAATTGATATAATTAATACATAAGGATAATCACTTAACACAACTTACGATTCTCCCGTAACTACGTTGTTTTTTCCAAAGATAATCTCATTTGTGCCTTTGGCACGTTCGAAAAATTTAACACTACCCGTAAAATCTCTCATATTTTGCAACATTATTCCAACATTTTGCTAAAACGTTAAAGTAAATTCAATAAATAATCTGATCATATAAAATAGTTTTAAAGTAATATTAAATAATAATAAAGTTGTTTACATCAGCTGTTGCTCCATCTGGATGTAATGGACCGTAAATGATTTCCCAATAATACATTGCATGTCTCATAAAACGAAGACCTAATTCTGTATTACCAACAGCATTTTCGAAAAGACCAAGATGAAGCTTTGAAATAGAACCAAATAATAGCAAAAATTAGTTAAGTTTTGTAATTCATATCCAAAAAAAAATAAATAAATAAAAATAAACTTATATAATAATATATTTGCGTATCTTACATAACTATGAACTGCATCTACACTATCAACACCACAAGTCCTTTCCAAGACAACAACCGCTTTTTTTTGAAAGTCTATGGCAATTTCTGTATCATCGTGGTGATAAAAATATAAAGCTAATGCTGCATAGCATTTTGCTGTTGCTGGATGAAGGAATCCATAGCTCTGTTCATGTAACGCTAAGGATTGCAACATCAGATCAACACCAAGTTCCCGATGGCCTGAAACAAACGAAAGAAAAGATTAATAAATTGAAAGATAAAATATATAAGAAATTAATAATGTACCTCTCGCAATACTTAGTTTCCCTGCTTCGAAAGTTTCTTCAGCAAATACACACTGAAATATTGACATAATTTTTCGATTAATCACTATCACAATAAATTAGATATATTTTCTTACTACATACCCTGGGATTTGCCTGTTTTACCGTGGGTATTAAATTCAAGATATCATCTGGCAAAAAAGTCGTAAGCCTTTTCTTGGATTTCTTTTTTACAAAATTATATCCTTGAGAAGCAATTTGTATGCCTACTCGTAAACAGATCTCTCTTAAAAGCGGTAATTTACGTACATTCACGTTAATGAAATTATCAGATAGTCTATAACGAAATCGAATAAGTATTGTGTCACGAATTTGTTGTAAAAGCGAAGAAGGGGTGAGGTTTATATAGGCATAAGTAGGATTATCGATGCCAATAGTAGTATCAGATACCATCGATTGAGGATTAGGATTATAGTCGGCACCAATTAAACAATTCAAAAAATGAGATATACAATATGGAACATATGTTAATGGTAGTTCACGAAGAAGACCACGTAAAATGCGTTTTGAAGCTCTTATAATCATCTCATGTATAACAAGATGCTGAAAATAAAGAAAGAATAAATAAATATAATTAACAAATCAATAACCGCCAAAAAATTAATTATCATTAACCTACTTTTACATGGTCTAACTTTTTATCTTGTGATTCATCTATAATATTTGCGATCATACCTAAATAACGCATATTTATACCACGTCGATGCATTGTTGTTGTGAGTGAAGAACCGTCGACAGGAGTTACAGCTAACGTGGTAAATTCTATGATCTAAAAAGATAATAAATGGGTCAATTTTCAAAAATTATGCACATAAATAGTTGTGCTCCTGAGGTTGACAAGATAGCACATATGGTAGGCTGGTCATTCATCAAAGAGTCGCACCATAAATTGAATCATGAAAAATTAAAAATAAAGGTTTTAAAGAATATTTTATATAAAATTTCATCAAGACTTACTAGCATTCGGATCACTGTATCTCGCAAATACTTAGATGCATCGCGCACGTTCTCTTCGTCTATTTTCTTAACTGCTTCATATTCTTCTTCCTCAGGCAACTTATAATTAGTGAATGCATCTGGATTTAATGCAAAATTAAAGTCTTCATTATCCAAAGCGTTAGCTTCTATGGTAGAATCCTCCGATTCCTAATAAATAAATAAATTAAAATCTAGAGCCGAAATATATTTTGATTATAGAATTAACAAGTTACTTACGTTTTGCTTAGCTGTGGTTTTTTTTTGAAGCCATAGTCTCAATTTATGATCCCAAAAGGATTCTACTAATTCTGGTCTAAGAAGTGTCAACTTATGAGGATAACGAGGAAGATTACTTCCATCAGTATCTTCTTTATCTTCACATTCTTTATCCAAAAATTCAATATCGATTGGGTTAAGACGATATAAATCAAACAAATATCTACGGCCATCGTCTCCCATTAAGCCCTATAAAAATAAAGAATATAATTAAATTCTTGAAGTAATATAACTTATTATATTTTATTATTATAGATATAAAAAGCACCTTGGTTTCAAGAGAAGTATAAAGTTTGACTGTAGTCCCTTTTGGATCAGAGACACTACAATGTTAGATATTTATTATTTATTATTATATACGTATCGATCGAAATAACATGTATAAATACACGTTGTAGCTGAAACTATCTATGATTTCAAACACCAAGTAGTAAAAATTAACATATGAGATTTGCAATTTTTTTTTTGGCAGCATTTGAACATACAATATTATCAAATATCGATATATCTGATGCCATACATCTGAGTAAAAAGGACATACGTAGAAAATTCTTTCAGCTACAACATTATAAAATTTATCCTTTCACTATACCTATGCTCGGCAAGATGTAAAGCTTTTGCAGCTTTTCCAACTATTTCATGAAATTCTGGATCTGAACATAACTTAGGTTCGTCTCGTCCATTGTCAAAGTATCCATAGACAATTGATGAATCATCTTGCCGTCGGAAAATTCCTTGAAAAGTAATATAATATTATAATACAATTTTATGTATGATATAGTTTAAAAGACGCTTTCAAACCTGGAACAATAGTTTGTGCGACAATTCTGATTCCCTTATAGTCTACTACAACACAACCAAGTGTATATAGTCCCTCAATATCTGTTGTATTTACAGTCCGTATACCCTCCATATCTTTGCCGGTTGCCACGTGTGCTGCATCATTTCCGCCGAGTTTTGCAAATGTACCTCTTGTATCAAATGCCTTACTGAAAAAAATATTATTGTAAACATACATATGCTCCTCTTCAGGGTCACGAGGGTTAAAAGGAATTACATTGCCGTTTATAACAGCAATTGCTCCCTTCACCGCGTTTTCAGTAAAATCAGCATGAATTTTATTAACGAGTCTTTCGCGTAAAACGCGATCTTTTAATTCAACTCGCGGATATTCACGCTGAGATTGAAATTCGTCGTTCCAGTCACGGAGAGAATCGACAGCATCAGTACCTAAATTTAAATATACTTCGGTTGCGCGACCCATATCATGAGTATGTTTAGATTGTCGTACAACCCAAGGATAAGCTGGAAAACATGTATTAAATGGAATGGTTTCAAAAGGGTGATGCGAGGCAATAAAATCTTGCAAAGATTTAAAATTGACACGAAATGATGGAGATATTGCTTGAAGAAGGGAAACAAGTGAATGAGTATGATAGACTTTAAGATCTGAGCGTGGATTTGGATCAAAATTTTTCATAGTCGATTTGTTAACAAAAAAACCATTAATCGCTGAAGTGATATGCAAAATTTCTCCCTCTATGGTAGTTACAGTCAAGTACAAAAGGTCGCCTGATAATAGAGTATTATTGAATATATTAATAATAGAGTATTTTATCCTTTTTATATTTCAAGATATAGAATAATTCGCACCTCTACGACGGCGTTCAAATGGCACAGGATTCCAACCGGATAGGTATAATGAATCTAAACATTTGATCAAACATCTACCAAAATTATTAGGAACAAATTTTACCAATGAAGGTGCCGAGAAATCATAATCCATGAAAGGCGTTTTTTGGACTTCGGAATTTTCTTTAGCTTTTCCGGGTTGTTCATTCGTGGCCTTTTCTGCAAGGCGATTTAAGATAAGTAATGAGCGCAGAAAAAAACAGCTTCTGCTACACACCATTGATACCAGAAACAGCCGTGAAAAACGATAATCCAGGATCTATTCCAACAGACGAAGTATTTTGTTTAAATGGACCGGATAGTAATTCTCTAACATGTATAACATGAATGCGAGCTTCACGCTCCGTATAGGGTTCTAATAATAACATTAAATGGTTAATTACTAATAATGACTCGAGCATTGATAAAATGATTGTACCTTCTATAAGATCTAATTCACAATCTTGAGTAATTTCTTCCTCTTGTAATTCTTTATAATCATCAAGGCGTTTGCCTTTATAACAGAGTGAGAAACAGGTATATATACACGTTTCTGGTGAATCAGTGAGCCAATGTTTAACTTCTTGAACAAGTTCACTTGCATTCGCCTAGATGTGACCTATTTTAGTATACATGGTGTGCATTATCAAAAGTAAACCCAACTTAATGCAAACTTACAAGAACTTGCGTTTTTCCAGGTAATTGAGATACATTTATCGTAAGTGTAAAATGAGGCTCTTCTGCTTCAACTACAGTATCCTCAACTACATTTTCAACAATCTCAGTTTCATTAGCAGGATCTTTAATATTAGACTCCATCGAAAGTAAGTTTTCTAAATAGGATAAATACGATCTATTTTTTTATAAAAAAAAAGGAAACCAAAAAAAATCTGATTTATATAAAAAAAAAAAATTTTTTTTCCATCAAAAAATTTTTTTTCATGATTATCTGCTGGAAAATGCCGAGATTTTGCGACTATACTATTATGTAATAAATTACTGATCATTTCCTAAAATGTTTAATAAATTTATTATTTCTTAAAGAAGGTTTTGAATGTAGATAATGTAGATCCAAATTATAATACCTAATTTTATTTTATATGATACATATATAATTTTACAAATATTTTTTATATTTTTTATTATTATATAATTAATTTTTATAAACATATTTTGTATAATATAAAGTATTTATTGTAAATATTCATTTATTATATAATTAAAAAATTTTATATTAAAAATAATATTATAATTAAAAGTTACAAATTAAATAAATTATATTTATTAAAATATAATATAATTAATAATTTAAAAAATTGTAATATTAATTAATATAATATCTTTATTTATATATTTTAATTTATTTAATTATAAATTAATATATAGGCACTTTATAATTAAAAGGAAGAAAATTACCAAAAAAATTTTTTTAAATTAATATTAAATCTGTTTTATTTTACTAAAAAATTAATACTTAACTTATAAAGTAAAAAAAAAAAATTTTTAATAGTTTTTTTCCTTTTTATTACAAAACATCTATATGTATAAATTAGATCAGATTAATTTAAATAAAATTTGATCTGATTAGATTTTTATTTATTAAATCTAAAATTGAATTAAATTTGATAAGTTAAAAGATGTACTATTATAATTTTTTTATATTTATATGTTTATCTTATTTTTTTAAAATTAAAAATTGCAATTTTTAGTATTTAAATAATTAATATCTTTTATATAAATTAATTTTCATTTGATTATTTTGATTTATAAATAATAATTATATTTATTTATTAAATATTAACATCTTTTATAAATTTAATTTTACATATTCTAATTTTAATAAATAAACATTAAAAATAAAGTTTGTGAAAAACTTTTCAATAAAATATTTTTATTAGTATGAATTACAATTAAATTCTTGTATATATAAAATATGTTAGCATTATATGGTGTCAAAAGGTTATACCTGACAACCATGTAAATTATTTTAATTTTGATTGACCAATAATATTGCAATATTATGTAAGTTATACTAATTATGCAGAAGGAAAATATTTCCTTTTAAATCGTGAATTAATCAAAATTTTATTTTCATGTCAAATTATTGTATACAAAACGAGTATTAATTACTTATTTAGATTTATTTCTTTTTTAATATTTTTAGGTAAATGATGATGAAACTTATATTAGTAATAGTCTATTCAGCAGATTTACCTATCAAACCTTTGTTGTAAGCATCCATATATCTCCAAGATTTATAAACGAATTTACAAATCTTTGTTATAAAAATATTGTTAAGAATTCTTGAAAGTTATTGAAGTAAGTCTTTATAGTTGTAATTGTATATTCGTCTGATTTCTCGCTTAGTATAATCTCAGTATCTCTCTATAAAATTGCATTCGTAATAAAACTTAGATAAAGTTCAAAGATATGTCCTACTCTAGTGACTACCTTCTCTAGCATTGATTATTGTTCATAAAAATTAGGCTACCGTAATATGATTCATTATGTACGGCAGTCTAAAACTTCTAAATTATCATTATTTTTATTAGAACACTATTCACAAACTAAATGAATCTTTTTTTCTAGCCACAGGTTACGTTCTTCAAATATTCGTTTGATTCCTTTTGGTTAACCTTTTTGTTTTACCACTGGGTAATCATCTGGAAATATTATTGATTACTCACACCTCTCTCCATATTCATTAATATATCAGTCATTACGCATTTTAGGTTATTTTCTTCCAGAATTCAGGTTCATTCTTATTGCAACCAATACATCTTCCGCTATAGCATTGTGATTCATCAATTAGTCAAAACAGAAGATATTAACGTATCTAAAATGCAATATTTCAAATATCAATATGGCTCTTTATACAAGTTGTTCTAGCATATATTCAGATTTTCAGTATCTATATGACTGTATAAAATGAAGAAGAAATACTTTTTTATATTTTATATACAGATTCGCTTACAATTACTTATTAGATAGTTATAATAAGCTGTAATATGAATAAAGAAAAGCTAAAACTATAATAGAATATCCCATGTATTTTAAACACAAAATAGCTTCATCTTTTATAGTCAGATTCTTCACTGACTATTATTTGCATAGAAGTGACATTCATTATGTATCACTTGTATCATTTCCCTTTTTTCTTACTTGAGCTAGGACTTTATTATAATTTCTATCATATTATCATCAAAATCTTTCATGTATTTCTTATATTTAAACATACTTTCTAATCATTTAATTCTATATGTCACTATATCAGACCGCTTATACTTATTATAATACATACTTTTTTTCTTTTATCATAACCATATCCCTACAAATACATGTAGTTTCAGCATATCTTTTTAGTAACAGGGTCTTGCTTAATATATTTTTCTTCAATATACACCTTTAGAAATTTAGAAGATCATAATTCAGATTTTTGCTGACGTAACTATACATAACAATCTTCAGAGATTTTTATTATTAAAAAAACCCCTTCATTTTGTATGTTTTCCTTAGTGATCAACAGTAATTTCTCCTGTTTGTATGTAATGATTTCCCTAATTTTGAATACATCTTGATATATAATCACCTTTGTTTCATACGATTTTAGCAATCTGTTTATTAGCATTTATCTTACCTTCTTCATCTAACAATAATTTTATGAATTTACTTATATTCGTTAGGTATAAATAATTATATGTAGATATATTTAATTTGGATGATTTTGTAAATAAGCATTTTCAATTAACTTCTTTAAAACATATTTAAAGATTTATCATAGAATTAGAAAATAATATAAGACTTTATACATGCATTAGAGATAATCGCGTCTTAGTATTGATAGATATTATTAGGCTTTGTAGTTGTATTATAGTATTAATAGATGGTATCAGACTTTATGCTGAAGACATTCGTATTATTGTCCTAATGGAAGTTTGGCTTTGTATATTAGTTAATATTTCATTTTCTAATAGCATGTTATCTATATTCTTTTCAAGTTCCTTTTTTTTTCTTCCTCCATGCTGTTGTTCTTAAAGTTTCAGTATATTATTCCTTTTATTACTTACTTTAAATCCTTTTTTTACTTGTTCCTTCTGTTCCTTCCGTTTTTTTTCTTGCATATCAATCATTGCTTTTTGTATATAAGTAATCATGTTCTCCTTCTAGAATACAAAATGACTATGCTTTCTAGGTAAATTATATACTTTTCGTTTCTTTTTTTATAAGGTAGCATTTTAATTAAGAGTGTTATTCAATAAGTATTAATATATGTATGTATAAAATTAGTTTTTATTTTATCCAATAAATGCTTATTAATAACTTTTTAGGATAAAATATCAATAAATGCTTAGACACGTAAATATTATTATTAATAAATAATGTGAATAATTAATAATAATCAGTCGAGATGTCTCGTAATCAGCACATAGTTTGCTATAAATAGCATTTATATATAATAAAAATTCAGTTTTAACTATATTAAAATTCTACTTCCTATTATGATAAGATGCATATAATCATATGGTATTACAAAAAAAATTATATCAGATAACAGTATGAAGAGATAATATATTTATTTTTACTTTCGCTTTTCTTAACCATTCTTTTTTTTAAAAGAATCTTGCTTTTAAAGATTTGAAATCATTGAAAGTTACACAATAAAAAATCTCTATATTCATGAGTGTAAACCTAATATATATATTGTTAATGACTTTTAATGAAAATTATAAAGTAAATAAATTTATAATATTAAAAAAAAAAATTTACTAAAAAATATTCTCTTTCCTTACCCCTTCTTTACCACTTCCTAATATTCTTTATCACTTTTTTACCTTTTTTACTACTTTCTTACTTTCTTTCACTTCTTTCTATTTTACCATTCTTATCTCTCAAATTTTAAAAAAAAGAATAACTGTCAAAATGAATATAATAACGCATATTCTGAATTTTTTGAGATAGATAGTGATGATGAAGATTTCATAATAAAGTTCAATAATGATAGTTATTTGCAAGCATTAAGTTCTTTGGATAAAGAACAAGATGATTTTATCCTATAAAGTGATGCTGAAGAAGAGGATACAGATTTAAAATAAGAAGTGTGCTAAAAAAAAGAACTTTTACGAATAATAGGAGCAGATTTCAATAAAAAATTAACATCCTGTATATTAATAAACAATATTGATGGCAAGATTCAAACATGTGGTGCAAAAAATTGCAATAAGAGGTTACGCAAATTAATAGGTTTTTGGCAAGTTAATAACGAAGTTATTAATTAAGTTGATAATGATCTATCCAGATTAGGAGTATATATGTCTCACTTTAATTTTGACCAAAAAATGCATAATAAAAAATCTAAATCAAATAAAAGTACCAAGGAAAGTCACATTCAATATCAGCAATATTTATTTTGACACAGAGGCTAAGTTGTGAGCAACATTCTTAAAATATTTTGGATTGAGTAATATTAACATCATGCATTAGGCAAATCAATTGTAAAGCATTAAAAGAATATGGTGATATATGTGAAATAGCTTCAGAAAATATACATAAACCACGATTTATATGTGCTACATGTTTTACACAAAATGGTGAACACCTTTATATCAAACTTGAAAAAGGAAAAAAAGCAGTAGATTGTGATGAATAACATATAGCTGATACTTCAGAATAACTTAAAATGATTGGCAAATGGTTAATTACAATGGGAAAATATGGCAAAAATAAAATTCAAAGTTTAATTTTATCTACAGTTGCATCTTTAATATTTCAAATATTGAAAGATATAAAATCTTTTCCTACATTTACCTTAAAATCAACTGTAGAAACATCAGATTTATCTATTCCTAGTTTGCTTCACCTTCAAATTACTTTTCAATTAAAAAAAAACAATAGCGATTCTACTTTGTTAGAGAAATTGGATAAACAATATTGCAAAAATTTAGGAAAAATATTTGCTAACAAGCTTTAGAAATCTTGAAAAGAACTTGATACGTCTCGTAAATTATTACAGAATCCACCAACCCTTAATGATTATGTAAATACCTTTTAATATAATTGAAAGGTTTTTTTTATAGTCTGTTAAATGTTATATACAAAAAAAAAATGATAATAGCAAATAAAAAATAATGTCAAAGAAATAAACAAATTAAACTCAGTGATTTAACACAAATTATTAAAATTGTTTTCTTGTTTCTTTCAATTTTAATTTCTATAGCATTTCCTTTAATTCAAATTTGGTTTTTTCAAGTAGTAACTAGTTTAACCAGAAAACTAAAATTAGTAACAGACCTAATAGAACTTCTTGCAGTTTTAAAAATTATATCTCATAGTAATGATCATGAATGCGTATTAGAAAAGAAGAGAATGAATCAAGTTAATCCTATAGAAAGACTCAAACAAGATCTAAATATTTGGAACCTTGCTATTATAGACAATATAGATTTTAAACAGAAAACTTTTACTTACAGTAATATTTTTGACATAACACAAGAAACATCACATATAACACTTCAGATGGCTTTTCAAACTAAATTATCTAATCTAATTAATGAAACAAAAGATGATGAAAATGAATTAGTAACAAATCAAGTTTTTGGAATAAATGATGAAGCACACCAAATTTTGGATTGTTTTAATAAAATATTTGATGAATACTTAGCTTTTATTATTCAAATAGTGAACTTCAATATATGATAGATTTTGATACATCTATAATACATAATAAAATTTTAGAAAAATTAGCTCATAGATGTTTTGGTCACTCTTCGCATGTGGTAATTTTAGAAGCTGGTGGAATTTCAAATAATAATAAAGGGATCTATCAATCAGCAAAAATGTATAAAAGTGATTTTTCTTTGAATTCTGATAATTATTTGAATATTGTTGCTGATGAATCAATTTACTGACATTTAACGAATTTGTGACAAGAATGGTCAATCTACATCCAATACTTGGACAGTGGTATACAAATAAAGATATTACAATATTTTTAAGTTATGGAATCTTTGATTTGTGTGTTGTAATAGGTGTCAAATTCTTAGATAAATTTGAAAATGTAATAGATTATCGATCTACAGTGAAAACTATAAAGCTTATATTGGTTGCAGTAGGCATTGCATTATGAATTTATTTAAAATCAAAAAATTTGCATAAGAATAATATATTGGATGAAAATTTTGAAGAATATCAAGCATTTAAAATTTGGTATTTATTTTACCTAAAGCTCTGAATGGTTTAGATTAATCTGAAAATTTTCAGTTCAGATCAATTTCAGTTCAGTTTCAGATTGCAAAAAATTCAATTCGAAAATTTTCAGTTCAGTTCAGATTTTTTTCAGATTATAAATCTAATCTGAACTAAAAAAAATCTGAACTGAACTAAAAATTTTAGATTAATCTAAAATTTCAGATCGTTTAGAATAATTAAATTTATCATTCTTTTAGAACGATTGAAGTTATCATTTTAAATGAACGATAAGAAAATCATTTGATTGAAACGATTAAATTATCATTCCAAAAGAATGATAAAAGAATCGTTCATTTAGAATAATTGAAATTATCATTACAAATAAACAATAAAAGAATCATTCGATTAAAATGATTAAATTATCGTTCAAAATAAATGATAAAAGAATCATTTATTTGAAATAATTGAAGTTATCATTCTAAACAAATGATAAAAAATCGTTTAATTAAAATGATTAAATTATCATTTCAAAAGAATGATAAAAAAATTGTTTATTTAGAACAATTGAAGTTATCATTCCAAATGAACGATAAGAAAATCATTCGATTGAAACGATTAAAACGATTAAATTATCGTTCTAAAAGAACGATAAATAATTGTTCATTTAGAACAATTGAAGTTATCATTCTAAACGAACGATAAGAAAATTGTTTGATTGAAATAATTAAATTATTGTTCCAAACGATCTGAAATTTCAGATTAATCTAAAATTTTCAGTTCAGTTCAGATTTTTACCAATTTACAGTTCAGTTCAGTTTCAGATTGGCATTTTTAAGATTTATAATCTAAACTGAATTGAACTGAAATTTCAGTTCAGTTTCAGATTGGCCTATAATCTGAACTGAACTGAATTGTTCAGAGCATTAGTTTTACCATTGGATTGGACTTTTTCTTGTGCATAAAGTTGAAATTCGAATTAGAAATTTTAATATTTAGAGGTATACTTTATCGGCATTTGCTTCTCTTATTCTATCAGCTGAAAAATCAAATTATACACAATCAATAGCACACTTTATTGGAATTCTTAAAGATAACTAAATTAGAAGAAAAACTACAATTGGTATTATCTTTTAAGATTTCAGAAGAAAAACGAGGTCATTTTCTTGCATTTGATGAGACATTGAAGACCTTTAGTGTAAAATTTATCAAACAAAACATAATCAGAAATGTTATAGATTCTGAAAATCTTAAGCTTCAGGTGAAAGCTATACTAACAGAATATGAACGAATTGAAGTATTACTTAATGAATATTTAAATAATATTACAATATCTAATTACAATCGATCTGTAGATATACGAAAAGATTCTATATAGAATCTTGTAAATAAACTATTAGAAGCTTTTAACGTATGTATAATAATTTCTTTTTTTATATAATTTATATTTTAATAATCATTATTTTTTTAAATAATATTTATTTTAATTATTAAAGCACGTTATTATAGTACATTTAATCAAGTTAATGATTTTTTTATACAACTTATTCTAAAGAGATGTATGCAGAAGGAATTAAACGATTAAAAGAATATTATAGACGAGGTTTGCATCATATAAAATTAATATATAATCAGGAAGTATTAAAAACAGAAACAATTAATACTGTTAGACGGAAGGCAAAAGAAATAGTAGTAACAAAATATAAAGATATCTAGATAGAAAAAAGGAATAAAAGGAAAGGGCAGTTGAAGATACTAATAGTATTGAAATATTGAATCTACAACAAAAATCTTTATTAACTGATAAAAGTAAAGCATCTTCCAAGAAACAAATATGTCAAATATCATTAAAAGAAGCAATTCAAATTCTTTTGCCAATAGTCAAACGTTCTAACCTACTTACAGATAAAGAAATACAAAATTATTTAGATATTTTAGCAGAAAATATACCATCTTCTAATGTTTAGGATAAACATTGAATTATTTAACATTATAGAAATCAATATAAGAAAGGTATTACTAATAAAAAAGAAGAAGAATAAGATAGTAGACAATTAAATAACAATTAATAAAACTTTTGTTTGAAAATAATGATATTTTAATTTTTTTTTTACTAATAATTAATCAGGCTGTAAAATGAAATTCTACTCATATTTCTATTTGTAATAAATAAATATTTTTATTTTTAATTTTTTTTGTAACTAAAGTTCGCACTACATCACTAGGTACTTGTAAAATTTTAACAATTGGTAAAAAAGAAGAATCCTTCTCAAACATACCAAATTTAATATTTACTTTATAAGCTTATAATTTGTTTGTTAACAACTCAAAATACAAAAAAAATACTGCTAATATTATAATTTGAAGTTTGAAGAATAAAATTATTAAGTATTATGTTCATTTGTAAATTATATGGGGCCTTTGCAATAGAAAAGGAGGAAACTCCAAAAAAATTAAAATTTTAGTTTATAAGCCAAAAATGTTCCAAATACTATAATTTGTTCAGATTTATTATTAACTTATTTTTTATTTTTTTTTGAGTTTCCTCCCTTTCTATTGCAAAGACCCCATATAGTGGTATTCAGATTATATGGTGGTATTTAAACTATATGGTGATATCCAAATTATATGGTGGTAATATAATCTAAGGTAAATAGGATATCATTATGTAATATAATTATATTATATGGTGATATTCCACTAACTCAAAATATGTGAATTTATAAATTCAAAGCTTAAGAAAATAAAACATGAATCTGCAGATCTTGGCTCTGATTTATGCCTAAAAGTTAATAAGGAGTTATCAAAAAATAATCTAAAAAATAATACTTTTATATAAATATATTTAAATTAATTAATTTTGTAATTTATAATATATTTTAACTGGTTAAATTTTTATTTAGCATATATTTGTCAGCAATTCAAACTAAATATTATTATAAAAAAAATAATGTAAAATGCATTAAAAAGCTTATATTAAAGTGTCTAAAGCGTTATGATGAATCAATACTATTATCTTATTTTATCAGTTATAGTAAATAAAATTTTAACAAAAAGTTTTACCAGTTTATAAGCTTTAAAAAAATGTTAACCTTAATTTACTTCAACAATTTTTAAGTAGATTATATAAGGTTAAAATATTATAATTTTATATTTCTTAGTATATTTTATTCATTTATTAAATTTAATATAAAATACAATTTATTTAAAATTTTAGAAAGAAATAGATAAACTAGTAAATAATTGTTTTACAATATTAAATAATAGCTCAAAATAAAACTTTGTTATAAATTTATTATATTATATGTATTTTTATTTATATATAATTTTTTTAATAACACATCCTCATCATGCAGAAATATTATTAGAAAAAGATCAATTATTTAAAATCTTATAATGTTAAATTTTCTAAATTAATACATATTGATTTAAAAAATGCCTATATATAGTTATTGTATTCTGAGGTGTTTATTCTTATCTACTACTACTATCTAACTATATACTAGTTTTTATTCATACTTATTTATAAAAATTAATCTATTAAGTAAAATTTGATACTGCAAATATTACACTAACTCATATAATAGCAGGTAATTGATATAATACTATTTTTAAGTTACGAAATTACAAAAATTGATAATTAAATTTTAACTTTAAATTTTAGAAAATTTAATTAAAAATTATTTTGAACTGAATAACTTGTAAATATTCATGCTTTCTTAAATAATGTAGATTGTTTTCAATATTATATAAATAAATTTTAAAAAGAAATTTATCTACAAGATTATGGTCTTTTGAAAGTTATATATAATTATTTATATAATATTAACAATTTTTGTAAATATGTAAAACGTTTAAGTAAATATAAATATATAATTATATTTTTTATGATATTAAAGTAATTATTAATATATTTAATATTATTTTTTACTAAAATTTTATGAAGATAATCATATAATGATTATTTGTATTATATTTAAACAATTATCTGAATGGACAAATATGAATATTTTTAAATAGATCTTTCTTTTAAGCATGTAATAAGTGAATTTAATGATTTTAAAATTAATTATTATAATTCTCAACATAACATAAGTATGATTTATTTATTGAATTTATATTAAATATGTTAAAAACCTTAATTTTTATATTTTAGTTTTATTAAGTTATAGTATTAAATACTAACTTAATAATAATTTTATATATTTTTAATTTTTACTTTTATCTATATATTTACTAATCATATAACAATTGTTATATATTAAAGAATTTTTCATACTTTGTTTGATTTAATATTTCAATTAACAGGTTTGATTTTTTAGTTTAAGTATATTTATAAAAAAGTTAGGGTTGTATTATTGCAGTTCTAAATTATAAATAAGTATAAGGTCTTAGGTTAGCATTAAATAAAATAGATGCAACAAAAAATTAGAAAGAACGTTTAGTTCATACTTTTAAATCTTACAGAGTATATTATAAAAGGTAAGAGAAATTCATTGATGTTTAATAATATATAATTCAATAAATTTTATTTTTATATAATTTTTAATAATAGAAAAATTAGAGAAAAATCATATAAGGATATTATAAAAAATAATATGTATGCATTCCTTACAGCTAAATCAGAAGACACAATTAATCAATTATTTGATAAAATATGAAAATATTGCTAGTTAGTGTAAAATTTTTTAGTTTACTTATTAAAAAGTCTTATTATAATTTTTTTTTATTTTATTTTATATTTATTAGATTGAATTATATTTAATCGTCAAAAATGGATCATTATATCATTTAATAAATGTATATTAAAATTAATAATAATATTTGATTAGCATCTCTTGATAATACCAATACAGCTGAAACTGCCTATACTTTAAGTAAATATTATGAAAAATATTTAAAATAATAATAGCTATTTTATACTATATATAAATGCAATATATTAAAAAAAATTTTAATCTTTTATGTAAAATTTTTATTAATTTATTAATTTGTATAAGGAATGTAAATTAGATAAAGAAAAAGTTAATGCAATTTATATTTATCAAAAATATAATATACCTATTCAGAAATAGGATAAAAGTCTAATTACTCATAATATTTTATCTAATAAATGTTAAAATAAATTAGTTTATATATGAAAAATATGTAAAAATGATGATTATATTTTTTTTATATTATATTTATATTTACATTAATAATTTAAATATTTTATTATTTATATATCTAATACATAGTTGAAATAAATTCTGTAAAATATAAATTATGATCTACTAATAAGAAAGAATCTAAAAAAAAAATATAATTAATACTGATACTGAAGATGAGATTTTTATTAGTTGTAAATAAAGTATAAAGAAAAAGCTTAAAAAAGTATTGTAATTAATTCTGATACTAAAAAAGCTGATAAGGTGAATGAATTAAGTTTAAAATTAGTAAACTTGAATATAAAAAATAAGGTTTAGCTTTAAAAAACATGAAATTGAGTTAAAAGAATGAGAAGCTAAATTTTATTTAATAGAATTATCTAATTTTGAGAAGAAGTATAAATTAAAATTTGTTAAATCTTGAAATAATTAATTTTATAAATATATCTGTATTAAATGCTTTGAATAGAAATTTAATAATAATGAAAAATTTTTTTATAAAATAGAAATATCATATCATATATTAATCGATTGTATATAATTCCTGAACATATATTAAATAGAAGTTTTTTATAAATATTAGTATAAATTTTAAAAAATTTTATTTATTTTTTAAAGTTTCACAACTATGTATTAAATATAAAATATATACTACAATAATACATTCCCTATCAAAAGTAATGGTGAACAGTTTTTTTAACCTTATACATGTAATTTTATATCAAATATTTTTTTAAAATAAAGATAAAAACAATATTTATAAATTTTATTAGATAATTAATATGTAGTGTAACTTCTATTTGCATCAATACATGCTTGAATTCGATTAGTATGCTATTAATACAGTTAAGTAATATTGAGTTATTAAGATTATTCCATTTCTTCATTAAAAAAAATTTCATTTAAAATTTTTTTTGTGCAATTAATATTTTTAATATTTTACTCAATTTTTTTTAAAAAACAGCCTAAATATTGTACGTTCCTATTCTAAAGGAACTTTATGATTTTGCGGTTTACTTTAATAGATGTTGATGGTATTGTAATTTCAGTAAGTAATAAAAAGTTCAAAAGGGTTTTAATTTAATTTTTTTTTATTGTTTATTTAATATAAACTTCCATTATCCAATTTGGTCTAATAAACAATGAGTCAAATTAGGTTAATAGAGTTACTGTGGTCTACATAAGAAGCAATATTCCCAACTGCTATTACTTTTGACAGGGACTGTATATATTATACAGTTTAAATGTTAATTAAATATAACATATTATTAATTTCTGAACTGAGTGCTGTATGTTGTATATATCTTATATTTTACTTTATACACTATTAGTTTTTATCTTATCAACATGTATATATTAAATTTTTTTATGCATATTTTACATAGCATAAAATATGCACAAATAATTATTAAAAATATTTTTTTTTTAAAGTGCAGTAGTTCCATATAATTTTTATTATAATAAAAGTAAAATATAAAAATAAAATACAAATCAAGAAGAAAAAATAAAAATCTTGTAAAGAAAAGAAATCTAATCTAAAAAAAACTGATCATATACTCTCTTAAATCAATTCTAACCTAAGCTAAAACTATTATTTCAAGAAAACAAAATGAAAAAAGCAGAAGAGAGCTTGGTCACTATTATACTAAAAAATTCATCCAATTGGATTCAAGTTATACTATAATATTAATTGGATTAGAGTTACTATTATTATTGAGAATAGCATAAGAGAGATCAAAATTAAAAAAAATAGTTCTCATTTTTTTGATTGATTGTAAAATTTGCAGCTTTTTCGAAATTAAATTGAATGACATATCTTT